CTCGATCCCGGGACTCCAGGATCATGACCTGAGCCGAAGGCAGTCGCTTAACCAACTGAGCCACCCAGGCGCCCAAGTTTTCATTTTCTTGGGTAGATACCTAGTGGAGGAATTTGCTGGGTCCTATGGTAACTCAATGTTTAACCATTTGAAGAAATGCCAGACTGTTTTCCAAAGTGGTTTTACCATTTTACATTCCTATCAACAGTGTATGAGGGTTCCAATTTTTCCAAATCCTTGCCAGTACTTGTTATTGTGGGTTTTTATTTATTATTACAGCCATCCAACTGGGTGTGAAGCAGTATCTCGTTCTAGTGTGGATTTGTATTTCCCTGATGACTCATGATGTTGAGCATCTAGTCATGCGCTTATTGGCCCTTTGTGTATCTTCTGTGGAGAAAGGTCTATTCAGAGCATTTTTCCAGTTTTTAATTGGGCTATTTGTCTTTATTATGAGTTGTAAGAGTTCCTCAATTTTTTATTAATATTATATATTAATATATTTTATATAATTATATATTTAAATATTTAATATCATCTAGATATAGAGTGTAGTGACACGTTACAGATATATATATGTCTAGATTTTAATGTATTCTAGATTTGTATAAATATTTACTAGATATTCTAGATACAGGTCCCTTATCAGATATATAATTTGCAAATATTTCCCTCATTCTGTGGGTTCTTCTCACTTTCTTTGATAGTATTCTTTGAAGCACAAAAGTTTTAAATTTTGATGAATTCCAGTGGATCTATTTTTTTCTTTTGTTACTTGTATCATAGTAAGAATCCAGTGCCAAATCCGAGATCATGAAGATTCACCTCAAGGGCTTCTTTTGAGAGTTTTATAATTTTAATTCTTACATTTAGGTCTTTGATCCATTTTGAGTTAGTATTTGTGTATGGTGTGATAGAAAGATCCAGCTCGATTCTTTTGCATGTGAAGTTACTCCAGCACCATTTGTCGAAAAGCCTATTCTTTCCCCATCGAATGATCTTGGCACCTTTGTCAAAAATCAACTGACCATAGACTCATGGGCTTACTTCTGGATTCTTAGTTCTACTCCATTGATCTATGTGTCTGTCCTTACGCTAGTACCACACTGTCTTAACCACTGTTGCTTATAGTTTTTGTGGTAACTTGAAATTGAGAAGTGTAGTTTTACACTTCTTGTGTTAAATATATTCCTAAGTACTTTTTTCTTTTTGATGGCTGTTATAAATGGAATTGTTTTCTTAATTTCATTTTCAGATTGCTCATGCAAGTATATAGGAATATAATTTGCTTTTGTATATTGTTTTTGGACCCTGCAATCTTGTTGAACTTATTTACTAGTTCTAATAGTTTTTTTTTTTTTTTGGTGAATTCCTTAGGATTTTCTATATACAAGATTATGTCATCTGAAAATAGAGAAAATCTTACCTCTTATTTCTTTTTCTTGCCCAATTGTGCTGGCTAGAATGTTTATTGCATTATTCACGATAGCCATGGCGCCTCTAATATAATGTTGAATAGAAGTAGTGAGAGTGGACGACCTTGTCTTGTTCCTAATCTTAAAGAGAAGGCATCCAGTATTTCGTCATTAGTATGACATTAGCTGTTAGGGTTTTTTTTGTTTTTGTTTTTTGTTTTTTTTGTAGATTTCCTTAACAGGCTGAAGAAGTTCCCTTCTATTACTGGTTTGTTGAGTGTTTTTATCTTGAAAGGGGTTTGGATTCTGTCAAATGCTTTTACTGCATCTACTGAAATGATCGTATGCCTTTTGATTTTTATTCTATTGATATGGTATATTAATGACATTGATTTTTGGATGTTAAACCAATCTTGCATTCCTGGAACAAATCCCACTCAGTCATGGTGTATCATTCTTTTTATATGTATTCAGTTTGCTAGTGTTTTGTTGAGCTTTATGGTATCCACATTCACAAAAGATAATTGATCTGTGGTTTCCTTGTGATGTCTTTGGTTTTGGTATCAGACTGCCCTCAGAATGAATTGGGAAGTTTTCCCTTCTGTTTTAGAACAATTTTTGAAGAATTGGTATTAGTTATTTAGATGTTTGATAGAATTCACTTGCCATCTGGGCCTGGGCTTTTCTTTGTGGGTAGTGTTTTGGTTACTAATTCAATCTCTTTACTTATAGGTCTATTTGGGTTGTCTGTTTCTTGCTGGGTTAGTTTCAGTAGTTTATGTCTTTCTAGGAACCTGTCCATTTCAGGTTATCTAACTTACTGGCACACAATTAACAATATTCCTTTATAATGCTTTTTATTTTAGTAATGCTGGTAGTAATGTCTCCTGTTTCCTCTCTGATTTATTAATTTGTCTTCTCTCTTTTTTTCTTGTCTTGGCCTGTCTGTTTAAATGTTTTCCAATTTGTTAATCTTTTTCTTTTTTTTTAAGATTTTATTTATTTATTTGAGAGAGAAAACACGAAAGAGAGAGCAAGCGAGCACGAGCCGGGG